CACACGCTCATGACGTGGAGCCTTCTCTCCCCCCCTACCCCCCGGGTGAGAGTCCCTCTGAGCTTTCAGAGGCAATGGGGAGGTGAGTTTTTGATGGTTTGGTTTGGTTCGGTTGTTCTGATTTTTGAGACGGAGTTTCACTACGGAGCCTAGGCTGGCCTAGAATTTACTATGTAGACCAGAGCCTCAAACTCATAGAAAGCCATCTGCCTCTGCCTCTTGAGTGCGGGGATTAAAGGTGTGTGCCACTGCACCCCACAGTTATGAGGTTTCCATCAGGTATTTTTAACCATGAGGTTAGAACACTTTGTAGGGAAATGGCACTTTAATTGCTTCCTCCCACAGGAGGACACATTGGTCAACTGCGAGGAGCTTTGGCCATTATCTGTTTCCCGATGTCTTTCTCAAGAATTCTCTTCTATGAACTTGGTTCCTGCTACAGAATTTCACCTTTTTGCAGTGGTCGAATGTAACTTTAGAGTCTTGTCACCTGCACAGAGTTGTGGTTGTCCCTGTGTGCCCAGACCTTTCACTTTGCTTCCTAGATCGGAGGCAGTGGTCATTGGGAATGAACAATGGCTCGGGAGTCCATTTGGCACTTGTTCTGTCTCAGCAGGGAGGCAGGTCTGGGGTCCAGTGTATGCCATCACCATTAAGAGGCTTCAAGGACACTTCCCCCCATTTATCCCAGTTATGTCCCCTGCTAAACTAGGTTAACGGTGTCTAATTAACCACCGAACATTGTCATGCCACATAAAGACAGAATCCCCGGCTGTCCTCTGAGCCGTGCTACTTCATCTCCATTTAGATCTCTGCAGTGTTCCATTAGGCACGAGAGACCGTTTCCCCGAGGTCTGCACAAGGGCCGCATTCAGCTTTTGCGTGGAGACAGCAGTCAAAGGCTTTGTCCGGTGCCAGAGGGGACCCAGGTTGCTTTGGGGGGCCTCACCCTCAGCTGCTGGCAGTGTCTGCAAGTTGGGGTCACGGCCACTTACAGGTCCCTCAGGTGTAGCCCGTATTTTGGTCATGATGGCCAACCCAAGCCCTTGCTGGCGGGGGAGGGCAGCGAGGACAGATGGCTGCAAGCGATGAACCAGGTGATACACACAAGGTAGATAGACACTCATCTGAGGAGTCATCCCAGGGATGATCTTCTTTTTTTTTTTTTACACCATAGCACATCTTTCCATGAAGCCTCAGGATGAAAGGAGGAGAACCCAGAGTCACTGGGTTCCCTCTGGCTGCAGTCCTGCATGGTGGCCATGACATCACGCTTGCCGTCAGCCAGCCGAATAAGCAAAAAGGTGGGACTGGGGGAGGGAGGGTGACCTAGCTAGATGAAACCCCTCCCCACCGTAATACGAAATGCACAATAAACCACACAGAACAACTAAGCCACTCGATTTGGAGACTTGCCAAAGCTGTAGCCCCACCGTAAGTTCGAAGCATGTTCGTGCCATGGAAAATATTAATTGGTTCCTAGCAGAGTGTCTTGAAGGGGCGTATCTGCCCACGCAGAGCTGCTGTCACGTGTGTGTTCCTGTCAGGCAGGGGTTAGAAGCTGAGCTTTGGAGTTAGCTGTCCTGGCTTACATTCACACCTGCCTTTCTGCAGGCGGGCAGCAGAAAGCGAGCTCCTTTAGCTCTCCAGGCCTCAGCTTCTTCAGTTGTACAATGGAGTAAGGAAGGGTGATGATGGGATCGTCGCAGGACATCACATACGCTATACGTAATGGCAGTTCACAAGTTATAGTGTTAGCGCTGTACAGTGGCAGTGCCTGGTCTCCAGCCACCCCCGTGCCAACTCCTGAAAACCCTGTGGCTACGTCAAGCTGAGCAGGGCAGAGAGAAGCAGGTTTGGGACTGGTCGGCTGAGCCACGGCTCTCTGAGCTTTAAAGGAAGGTGGCGCTAGCAGGGCAGCCTTTAAACATTTCCATCTGAGAAGCCAGTATTTGGAGAGCAGCAGCTCAAGGCCAGGTGTTGTGGCGGTTTGCAAAGGGCCATTGCACAAGGCCGGATTTCTCCTCATCGAGTTGCTGGCTGACCAGACACACTTCCTCACCACGTGTGCCCCTGATATTAAGTCTGCATGGTGGGAGGGGGTGGGGTTATTTCTTCTGGTCCACAGGCAAAGTTGTATTCAGAATGGCCAAAGCAGGCAGCAAGTGATGGAGGAACCCCTCAGAAGAAAGCTGGCATTTAATTAACTCTTCAAAGTGCTGGTTCAGCAAGCACCCTGCTTTTACATTTTGCATATTGAGCAAGCGAGCGCCCCTAATGGGTCTGAATTGTCTGGCCTGTGGTGGCGGTGAACTCCTGGTCAGGTTATACAAACGCCACAGACTCTGTGTGAGTGCCAGGAACAGAAGCTTTGCTTTGTGAGCTGTTTGGGCTCCTGGCCATTTCTTCAAGTCCATATTCATTAACCGTTCTGGTAGAAGGCATCAGACAACTGAAAAAGAGAAGGGAGAAAGGGAGGCAGGTGTCTGTTCTTCTGCGTAGCAGCTCTGGAGCCCAGCCTCCTATCTGGAATACAGTTTGGGATGTGACTCTCATAACCGTGACTGGGACCCATTTCTAGAAGTTCCTACCCGGGGTGGAGTCGAGGGGACTAGCACATCTCCATTGAAAAAAGTTCTGCGTGTGATTCTGTGGCTTCCTGTGGTTACGGGCTGCTTGATTGCAGGACTAGCCGCAGCCTTCGGTTCTTCGTGTGGGCAGCGGGACTTAGAAGGACTGTGAGCACAGGAATCCATACAGATGTGCGTGTGCCAGCTAGGGCAGTGTGTGTGTAGCCTAGGGTGAAAATCAGGGAAGCAAAGCCTGCTGTCAGGCTCATCACTAACAAGCTCTGTGACGAGAGTGAGGCCCGTGGCCACAGTGCCCAGTATCCTGAGTGTCACTGGTTACCAAAGACACCTTCAGTGGCACCGTGGAAGCCTTTGCAAAGTACGGAAAACTGTTGTGTGCGTGTGGCCCTGTGGTACTCAAGATGCCCTAGGGGATCAAACGGGTATAGGAGATCTGTGAGGCAGAGCTGTGCTTCACATCGAATCCCCACAGGCACATACGGATATGTGTCCTTTTCTCTTTCTGCAGAGAAACACACACAGGGTCTAGAATGTACTCCCCACCTCGCTTCCTCTGGCTCACACACTAATAGCCACACAGCTGTGGGAACTGTAGTGTCCCTTGGCTCCTCTAAAAAACCCCAGCAGCACAGAGTGGGTGACTCAGAACTATTCCTGGCTTTGTCGGAGGGAGTCCGGGTGGCCGGAGTTCAGGCTTCTGTCCCAGAGGTTGTGTTGTCACCAAGCTTTTTATTAATCCCGAAAGATGAGCATCTGTCAAAAGAGTAAACAGCACTGTGGTCCAAACCAGAGGCACCTACACTCCAGGTCAGTGGTTCTCAAACATCCTAATGCTTCGGACCCCGTAATGCAGTTCCTCATGTTGTGGTGACCCCCAACCATAAAACCATCGCTACTTCTGTTCCCAGTAACATAAGATACTCATAATAATACCACATAAAAAGAGCAATAATAATGCCACAGATAACAACAACAGTGTGTAGTCCGGGGTTCCCCACCCCTAAATCAGCTGATCCAGAAATCTCTCCGCCCCGGGCCCAGCAGGCTGCATGTCTGACAATCTTCCCAGTGGACCTCATGTCATTGGCATGAAGACTGCTGCCTGGGTGCCACACAGGTCCAGGATCTCATGGATTGTCTCAGACTGAGTCCTCACCCAGCGCCAGTCATGTGTCTCTGCTCCCTCGTGCTGACGAGCTAGAAGACCGCTTGCCAGGCAGCAGGCCCAGTGCGCCCCCTTTGCTTCTGGGAGCTTACTGAGGCTGGTACGGAACAGCCCCAAATATGACCAGAGCCTCAGTCACTGAAACAGCCCGCTGTCAGCAACTCGCCCAGCTGCCAAAGGAGTCATTGTCTGCATCCATTTCAATTTTCTGCTTCTTGCTCTTCCAGCACTCAAACTCAGCAGTTTACTTTGGAGTTGTACTGTGTCAAGGCTTTAAGAAGACCTTATAGGAGCCGGGAATACGGCCCACTGTGAAATCATGAGGACCTGAGTTCTGATTCCTAGCATCCACATAAAAGCCATGATATGGATCCAGGCAGTGGTGGCGCATGCCTTTAATCCCAGCACTCAGGAGGCAGGGGCAGGCAGATCTCTGAGTTTAAGGCCAGCCTGGTCTATAGAGTGAATTCCAGGACAGCCAAGGCTACACAAAGAAACCCTGTCTTCAAAAACCAAAAACCAAAAACAAAAACCAAACAAAAAACATGATAAGGTCATGCATGTCATCCTGGCATGGGGCAGGGGTCCAGAGATTGCTGGCCAGCCAGTCTAGCCAGTAGGTGAGTACCAGGTTCAGTGCAAGAAATCCTATCTCAAAAGATAAGGTGGCAGGGCGTGGCGGTCTGGGCCTCTAATCATAGCATTCAGGAGGCAGATGCAAGGCAAATGGATTTCTGGGAGTTTTAGGCCAGCCTAGTCTACATAGAGAGTTTCAGGCCAGCCCTGGGTCAATGAGAAAGACGGGGTAGTGGAGGGTGGCCCAGGGGTACGCCTGATCCAGCCTCTGCCTCTACTCAGTACAATGCATGTACGTGAGTGTGTCCTTCCTGCCTCCCACCCTCCCTCCCTCCCTCCTTCTTCTCTCTCTCTCTCTCTCTCTCTCTTTCTCGTACATACACAGACACATAGAGACACAGATACATACAGAGACGCACGCACAGAGACACACACACACAAACAAGAGAGAGACACATACACACAAATATACTTAGAGACACGTACATGTGGAGACATACACAGACATTTACACGCACACACGGAGACACACGTGCACACCCATACGCACACGCACACACAGCGGCTACAAAGAAAGCCTTTGGGATGTGCTGCCTTGCCCCCACTTGAGCTTCTCCCCAGACAACTTATGGGTTATCTTAAACTTTGTCTCTTTCTTTTTTTTTCAGATTGGGAAAGAAGAATTCTGAGGAGACGGAAGAGTAAGTTCCCATGGTACTGTGTATCCTGTAGTGAGCTTTGCTAGCAATGTGGCCTTGGCTATCATTGTCCCTCCAGCCGGTGTTGAACACAGCACTGGGAAAACGACAGAGCCCTGGAGATAGGGCTCGGCACTTAGGAGCCTTTGCAGAACACCTGGGGTGGGGTCTCCAGCAGCTCACAAACATCCTTAACTCCAGTTCTGGGGGCCCAGCGCCCTCTCCTGACCTCCATGGAGACCAGGCACACACAGTGCACATACAGACACGCAGACAAAACACTCATCCACATAGACAAAAATAGTAAGTCTTCAAAGAGAAAATCAGATGGTCTGGAAGCCGGCCGTGGCCCGGGGCTGCGATCTGCAAGGTGAATTAAGAGCTGGCTTCACGCTGCCTCCTCCCCTGAAGGTCAGAACCTGGCACCAATGTCCATGCCATAGTCTCACACGGGGATTTAGAATTGCATTGCAGGTCCAGGTATCAGGATGCCAGCCCAAACTGTAGCAACACAGGTGGGCAGAGGAATAATGACAGTTCACCGATGCTGGCCTTCTCCCAAGACTTACATGTGAAAAATGAAGTTAATTAAAATTAAGGGGAAAGGCTGTGGACAAAGCTATCATGGCAGGTGCCCTCGCACCTCCAGGGTGGGGGGAGCATTCATGTCGGTGTGTGGGTGCTGCCCTGGGAACGGTGTGTCGCATGCCTATGCAACAATGCACCGCAAACCCATTTGCCTAAAAAGGTTTGACCGAGATTGTGGAAACAGGAGAATTTTTATTTATAACCTGTTTTGTTAGTTAGGGTTTCTCTTGCCGTGATGAAACGCCATGGCCAAAAGCAAGTTGGGGAGGAAAGGATTTATTTGGCTCACACCTCCAGATCAATGAAGGAAATCAGGACAAGCACTCAAACAGGGCAGGAACCTGGAGGCGGGAGCTGATGCAGAGGCTATAGAGAGGTGCTGCTTACAGGCTAGCTCAGCCTGCTTTCTTATAGAACCCAGGACCACCAGCCCAGGGATGGCACCACCCACAATGGGCTGGGACCCCATCAATCATTACTTAATAACTCGCCTTACGGCTTGATCTTATAGAGACATTTTCTCAATTGAGGCTTCCTCCTTTCAGATGACTGTAGCTCGTGTCCAGTTGACATGAAACTAGTCAGGACACTTACTAACTCTAGGTTGCTATCTGTGTTTGAAACTCATTTTTTTTTCTTTCTTGTTGTTTTTCACTGGCAGTCGCCGCCTCAGACAACATAACGTAACTGGATCAGACGAAGGAGAAGGTGAGCCATCTTAGAGGAAGTCCGGCCATGGCCAGGAGGCCTGGGAGCCCACAGGGAGCCTTTGGGTGCATGCTTAAGTCGCAGACAGCCGTTCATATCTGTGCTTTGCTGAACGCTCCTGCCGGGTCCTCTGCTTTCTCCAATTGCAGCCACCTAAGCTCCCCTGGAATTCAGTTTTCCTCCTCATCCCAAGAGGCCTCCCTGCTTAGGGCAGGTGTTTCTGCTGTGACGGTGCCCAGCACACCTCTGTGCAGGAAGCCAGGGTGGCCATTGGCTCACTTCCCAGTTCCCCCGTCTCAAGGTCAGAGGGCTCAACTGCCCATGGCCAGTGTCCGAGTGCAGCCTGCCACGCACTTCTTCACTGTCCCAGCGTTTACGGCAGGAGCTGTGGTACCACTCAGTCTTTGGAAGCACGGTCCCTAAGTCTTTTTAGCAGGTTTGTGTGGGCAGCTGCATGCAAAGAGGAGGAGAATTCAGTCCGTAAAACCAGATAATCCCAAGATTGGGGTAGGGTCAGAGAGAATACGCATGAAATGTTCTGAGATATGGGTCCAGCTACAGGTCCTAGGCCATGCTCAGGTCAGAAACCTGGATGGGGAGGGAGGACACAGAGAACTGAACTCATTTAAACAGGCTGCCTGAATGGGCATGTGACAGGCCAAAGTCTGACAGTAAATTTAGCCGTTCTGCTGCCCTCTGAGATGGGAGAGGATGGGAGCCTCAGCTTGGAACTAGGCCATGGTAATGGGGGCTGTCTGGCCAGCCTGGACCAGTATGGTAGGAGTGTGTATATGGCAGGCCATGCCCTGCAGGTCATTTTTTGAGTAACTTCAATCTCCATTTGCTTGTGTGTCTGTTTATAACACCAAGAAACTTGGTTTTACGTAAGAAAACATTGACTTCAGGGAACACGATTTCTAGAGCTTTTCAGCAGAGACTTCCAAATGCAAATAACAAGGAAACCGTGTGGCTCATGATCCCTGGTGCTCTCGCTCACTGGACTGTCTCCAGGCTGTTAGCCACTCCGCCCGGAACCACCTCCCAGCACCCTTCAAAGGGCTTCTGAACCCCTACTTTTGCCACCCCTTTTCATTGTGGAACATGCTATGTTTTGAGAAGTAAATCTAAAATGTCACAGCCAGCCTTCGCAAACGCTGTGCTTGCCGCATATATGTGTGTAGGGCCAGAGGCTGCACAGTCGTCATAGGGCCTCTGTTTCAGAGTCACTCCACTGCAGCTTGAGGGCCATCCTAAGCAAACCTGCCCCTCAACACATTAAGAAATTGAGGCTTAGAGACTGTGACATAGTGCAGCAGGCCCCGGGCAGACGCCCAAGAGAATCAGCTCTTGCACCTTAGTTGTCCGCTGATGTCATCGTCACCATTTACTCCCAAACATTGACCTTGTACCAGCCACCAAGCAAGGTGCTTTATATTTTCTTGTTCATCTTCTTTGAAAGCTTTTGGTTCTCTTTTAACCTTTTTCAGAGACACAGTTTCCAGCCCAGGCTGACCTTGAACTTCTGTTTCTCTGACCTTAGATTCCTACGTGCTGCTATAAGCATACTATTACAAGCCTATAATACCACATTGGCTTATGGTTTTCATATTGCATCATGTGATTCTCAGGAAGAGTCAACTTTCTTTGTCCAGGACTGTGTGTGTGTGTGTGTGTGTGTGTTGAATGTATAAGTGTGTTGTACATGTGTACATCTTCCTGTAGAGGTGAAAGGCTGATACAGATGTCACTTTCTGATCACTCTTCTCCTTTATTGTTTTAAATGACTGAGCCTGGGGGTTAGGAGTCTGACTAGGCAGCCAGTGAGCCTCGGGGATCTGCCTGCTGCCCCTGCCCTGCATCGCTGGGGTTGTGGGCACACAGCATGCTGCTTAGCTTTTTAGCTGGGCTCCTATCATTAAGCTCATACTGCCGGCACTTTCCTGACAGCCATCTCTCCGTGCTAATGTACTTAAGACTTTGCTGAGTCTTAAGTACAGAAAGCCTTAACCATTAAAGTAGACAGTGTGGGTTTGGCTGACAGTTATGTTCTGTGAAACCTCTGTCACAACGAACATACAGAGTCTTCATTACCTCCCTAGCGAATCCTCCTCTACCTCTGGCCTCAACAACTATTGGTGCTTTTTTTTTTTTCTTTTACATGAAAAAATGATTTAATTTCCTAGAACAAATGAAAACATAAGTACATATGTTTTATACCAGCTTATACAAGTAGAAACATAAACATGCCTGGCTTTTTTTTTTTTTTTTTCTCATTATGATTCCAACATCGGTCCAGGTTGCTGCATGTATTGTTTCTATTTTCATTCTTATTGAAGAGTGATATCCCGTTAAATGGATATACCACATTGTCTTAAACTGCTGATGAACACGTGAATTGCTCATTATCCCCATTTTGAAGACAGGAAGGCTTAAGGCATGGAAGAGTAACCTTGTCCAAGGTCACGCATCCCGAAGATGGTGGCAGCAGGATTTTGAGGCAGACCTTTGACCTCAGGGGTCTTATTTTCAGCCTTTGTCTCAGGTGCGCTGGTGTCCTCCCCAGGCAGCTTAGAGTGATTGACGGGTGCTTCGGCTCCAGCAAGGAGGGAAAGAAGAAAGAGACTATTTTCAGAGAATTACTCTACCGTTTTCCCCTCATAAACTTGGCGTGAGAGAGTTGTGGTTTCGTCACGGAGGTCTGAAACACAAACGCCTTTCTTGTAAGAGGGCACCCCTCACCCCCGCTGGAGAGACTCCTCCTCTCCCACATAAATCTGTTTTTCCATTTAGTTCTGCTTGCGTCCTTAATGGAAAGTCAGCTCATACGTCACACTTCACACCCGACTTAGTCCATTTCGCTGAATGTGAATGTTTAGAATCCATTATGCACTAAGAATCATATGTTGCATATAACTAGTTTCCAGAATTATCTTTGCTCAGAGAATTACTTGGTTGGCTAGTGAAGGCTGCTCCCTTGAACTTAGAATATCCAGTGGATGGGGAGACTCCGGGAATGATTGCTGTGAATCATCCATGGCCACACATCCAGTGTTGACATTAAACAGCCCCTTGGACACCTATAAGGAAACCCACTGGCTCCTTTGATAAAACCACATCCAGCTTCTTCGGGCTCACACCTGGTGGGTGCAGTTGGTGGGCAGTCCCAAAGGGAAAATAACAAGCCCAAATCAAGTTTCCCACCGCCAGCCTTGGAGGTTAGGGTTATGGAGGAAACGGGGTTTCACCCAGTTTTGCCCCAGATACTAGAGATGGTGGTGACTAAGGCAGCCCCAGGCCTCCAGGAGTATCTGATCTGGTGAGAAGACACACGTGCTCCTTCCCTGCCTGTCGGTCATAGAATGTGTTCATGAGCCTTGTCTCCCTGGCTGCAGTCTCAGCATCCTCATGAGTGGGTAGCCCTCACCTGCCCCAATGCCCGGAGGAGAAGGAAGATGCATGATGTCTCTCCGCCAGTGCTCCATCCTTCCAGGGAGTAAGGCATAAAAACCCAGGAGAAAGGAACGTTTACAAGTGAGTGACATTTATAAGGGGCCTGGGCATCTGCTGGTGAGCCAAAAGACATGACATAGGACGGTTTGCAAGACCATGGCTAGGCTGTGAGCTCAGATGGATGTAGAGGCCAGACAGAGAATACAAACACACGAAACCACAAAAGGATAGGTGACAGAGAATGTCGGAGCCTGTGATGAATGCAGAGAGTACAGCCTGGAAGATTTCAAATTATATTTGAGAAGGCGACAGACAGACTGAGGACATGTTTCTAATTGTAAAATGCCCATAGCTCATGTAAGGCTCAGTCCCCAGCATGAGAAGATTAGATACGAAATTACCAATGACACTTTTAGGCGTGTGATGCTGGAGATTGTGCTCAGGGCCACGTGTATTCTAAGCAGTCTGTTTGTCACTGAGCTAGACTCAGTGAAAGAATTTAAAAAACATCTTGTAAGTGGAACATATCTGCAGGTTGGATTGGGTCTTTGGGAAGAGCTTTGCAAATTCTTTCCAAGACCAAGCACAGCTCTACCCTAAAGGAACACAGACCCTCACTGGGAAGCAAAACAGAAGATGAAAAGAAAACAAAATAAAAACCTACTACAGGAATTCAGCAGGTATGACAGAATGAGGGGTGGCATGGCAGGACATGGTTACAGGTAAGTGAGCATGCATTTAGACATATGTAGGCTGAAAGCCTTGGGGAAGAAGGAAGAACTTGGACCAGGTTGTAAAGGGTGAACAGGACCCTATTAGCTGGATCAGAATGGTTAGTAAAGCCAGAAGGAACACTGGTTTGCAGAGCTAAGCCCTGATAATTGTCCATTCCAACTACAGACTGCCTTATGGAGACTTGCAGTCATCTTTCTAACCTGCTGGTTCTAGCTGAGAACACTCCGGCTATCCCTAAACAAAGCGCTTGGGCAGGTGGGAGGTTGTGATTACAGACAATAGCTGGAGAGCAATGGACAGCCAGAGCCCCACATCACCTTTGTGGACAGGCAAACCGAGTCTTCTCTGTTTAGATGAGCATCCTTCAGTGGCAGAGCCGCCCAGTCTCAAAAACACATTTTAAGTTAGTATACAGTGTAATGGGTTTTGGTTTGGCGTTTTTACACACAGGTCACATACTTTAATGGGATGGGTTCCAGTCTCTCTTATGCCCTCCCCCTGGGACTTACTGGTGCCCTTCTTCAAATAGCTTCTGCTTTATTGTCACATATATTCCATTACTCTTCCTTTTCTCCCCCTCTCTGCCCTTAGATCTCCCCTTCCAGCTTTATATTACACATATTACACACACACACACACACACACACACACACACACACACACACACAGTCTCTAAATATGTGCACGTTTAAATCTAGAGTCTACATGTAAGAGAATATATACAGTATTTATGTTTCTGTGTCTGGCCGGTCTCATAGCATAATGCTCTTCAGTTGCACCTGCTTTTTCTCTAAAGGTCGCAGTTTCATTTTCCT